ATATATGTGTGTGTGTGTGTGTGTGTGTGTGTATATACTATTTATTTACTTATTTATTTATTTATTTATTTATTTTTATGTTTATATAAAGATGAATTTGTCAGTAAGGTATACGACCTGGGGTTTTTTCAAGCGCAGATACACATCTCAAACCTTAATCCTTCCACAGGCGATGCCAAGTCAACCCTTTCGGATAGCGACCGCGCCTATGCGGTGGGGTATATAGAGGGCTCTTTATCGCACTTGCGCATCCAACAGAACATCAACAACACCGTCAAGAACATGGGCAAGCTACCACGCCACATCTCCCAGTTCCTCCGAGACCAGCTGCTGTGGACGCGATCTCAGGTGCAAAAGAACCCCAACGATCGGTGTGTGGAACGCGATAAACCGTATCGTCGATGGCTATCATACCTTTTTCCGTGTGTGTAAAAGCCGAACGGATACGTTTATGTAGTGTGTGATGGTATATTCAGATAGTATCATACCTCGTTGCGTGTGTAAATGCCTTGCGGATACGTTTATGTAGTGTGTGATGGTATATTCAGATAGTATCATACCTCGTTGCGTGTGTAAATGCCGTGCGGATACGATTATGTAGTGTGTGAGGATGTATGCAAAAGGCTAGTTAACACTCCATGTATCACAGTTCTTGCATGAAATTACTCTGGTTGCGATGCCGGATGGAGAATATCTTCAAAGTTCGGTACTGGGCACTTTTTCACCGCTTTACCACGGCGCCCTCTATGCCAGGGGAAGTTGGTGTTATTTCTGGTTGAGTCTTTATTAGTATATCATTATAATAACGGTTGCTCGATATGTAGTTTTCAGTCGTGAATGAGGTGCATTTGTAGTAGCCGGTACAGCAACGTCCAGAGGGGGTGAGTATTCTAACCCGCATATGTGTCGTTTGTATATCCCATTGAACCCTGATCGTCGTTGTAATAAAGGGGGTGAGTATTCTAAACCGCATATGTGTCGTTTGTATATCCCGTTGAACACTGATCGTCGTTGTAATAGAGGGGGGGGGTATTCTAACCCGCATATGTGTCGTTTGTATATCCCATTGAACCCTGATCGTCGTTGTAATAGAGGGGGTGAGTATTCTCACCCGCATATGTGTCGTTTGTATATCCTATTGAACCCTGATCGTCGTTGTATTAGAAGGGGTGAGTATTCTAACCCGCATATGTGTCGTTTGTATATCCCATTGAACCCTGATCGTCGTCGTAATAGAGGGTGCTCGGTTGTAGCAGGCTATCTACATTCAGTGCATAATCCCACCTTGCAAGCTGTAGTATTTTACTACAAATTTGGGAATTCACCTCACATTGTAGAACCCCGTTTATAGTGATATTCGGCTTTTTTTTTAATCTAGATACTGGAAAGCAGTCGGGCTGGTCCAGGCTCAGTTCGATGGTTTGGTTCAGGGATACCGTGCGGCTGACGGCAAACAAGACACGGCCCACTGTGAGTTGGGATTGGCGTATATCAATTCGAACAATGAAGTTGGCGATTTAAAGGCGCACTGGCTGCAAGATCCCACGGACGGCGTGCCTTCGCGCAATAAGTTTGATAAAGAGGTAACTACCGAACTGCCTGTGTTGTATTGAATTTATGTAGAAATGCATGTAGAAAGCTTGCATTCGAGTTGGTGTTGTAATGAGACATCGCGTCATCACTCAGCTGCCCACTCGAACAATCATCTCGGTCAAAACTTGGGTCTTCCATAAAATGTATGTCTTCTCGCACAGTTTCGGATCCACCACAACACCAGATACTCACGTGATTGTCAAAGCTATTCCGTTTGGCATCGACCCGAATGTTAGACAGCCACAGCGATCAGGACACAGAACATGACACATGTCCACCTTGTTTAGATTAACCCACAGATTTGGTCATTTTCATATCCAACACTCCTTCTTCTTTTATACTAATATTTATATATATATATATAACTCGATTCAATAGGAGACTCTCGCGCGATTGTCAAAGCTGTCCTGCTCGGCCTTTGTTCGGCTGTTGGATGATCACAGCGATCTGTACACGGCACATGCCACTTGGAGGCCCTTTTCCGGCATGCTACGAGTGTACAAGACAATCCGCATGCACTTCGAAAGCACCCCAGTAACCCAGGTGGGTGAGCATTGCTATGTGCGATGGTTGTGTACTTGTGTATTTGTGTGCGATATATATATTTATCTTTATTTGCTTATTTA